ATTTCTTTTCATTCTATCAGAAATGACTCATCCTTTTAAACATAAACTGTATCTAGTAACTTTCACTCAACAACTGTTGAGATAAATGTGAAAAGCACCATACTTATGGTTCAATCTTGGGAAGTGGTCACCCATCTTCTTACTAATCGTAGTTTTGACACACACAATAGAGAAAGACAATACATCACAATTCTCTACTTTATAGTGACAAACTCCATAATAATGCATGGTCTGATCTTCAGAAGTGGTCATCCATCCTCTTACTAGTCAAGCTCGTTCACAGTGGAGAAAGAAAATTAACCGTAAAATAACTTCAAAATTTAAAAAAAAACAAAGAAAACCAAACAAGTGATTATCAAGATATTTTTTTATACACTAACCAAATTTTGTTTGTGATTGTGTTCCTGCATTTGACTTTAGTGGGTAGAGTACGGAATGAACGAGAGAAACAATGAATTTAACACTTGTCAGTTAAAAATTGTGACTACACTCAACTATCCAAAGCAAATAATAGTTTATTCTAATTTAGAGTTTAATAGTGATAATCTGTTTTTTGTAAATTAATCTGAATTATTCAATCTTTTAGATCGATGCGGAATAGAAATATTACGATTATATGCTGGACGTTCGAATGCGAGCAGTTCGAGTTCGGTCTATCCATTACTGTAGTGTCAACTGCACTACGGCAATGATTCACTAACTATTACCCTCTACTGTCGTCTACGAGTAACTCAACAAGCCATTTGATTATTAAAGAAAAAGTATCAAACTTTCTAAAAGAATTGTCGTGTTCTTTATTTATCCTATGTTTAATTTAGCAAAATAAACTGTTGAAAAGCGTTGATTCAGACAGGATAAATTCGAATTATGGATCCTTCAGAGTGATTCAAATCCGATCGATCGTCATAGAAAAGAGTGATTTGAAAAAATGGATAAATGAGGATTTTCTAATGACTGAATTCAGACTGATTCATCTTATCTGATTATCATATGATTCATAAGGAAAAATCACCTGGCCACGGCCAATACCTGTCGGCGATTGCAGGACTAGTAGAGCAGCGTACAGGGTAACAAGATCTTGAACAGTTGACTTGTAGTTTCAAGTGAGGAGATGAGGAAGGATCAAAGTAGAACTCACAGCTAAGCTTACCACGAAGAAGTAAAATATGCCAGAGACTCATTCTTGCGTCATGCGAACAAGCTTGGAAGTCGCTTTCATTTGATTATAAATACAGTTATGTTTTATTAGATTTTGAACTCATCAACAGGCTGTAAAACGAGTAGTATTTACCAACGCAGGTAAGACCCTCCAGTCAACAGTTTTTTTCGAAATGTCAAAGAAGAAAATCTCGTTTGCAGATAGAAATAGTGAACTTTGTATGCTCTTTCCAGCAAACAGTATGAGAACCCTTGAAAGTATTAGATAAGGTCGAATTTTGCTATTCTAGCGCCCCAAAAACACTTCAGTTCACAACTTATGGTCGAAAAAATCTACAGTTTCAAAGATGCATGAAGATAGATCGAAAGATTTAGGTCAGAATCTCGGTTCTTTTTACGCACACGAATACATGCTATAATGATAGAAAAGTTGACATACCAGATCGAATGAATTTATCAAAGAAATGTTTAAAGAGAACATTTATGTACTTCGATCTAGACATAATATATAAAGCATAAAAATGAGGCCACAGATAAAACATTAAAAGAAAAGAAATTTAAACAGACATGATGGTCATTCGTTATTATATGTTTCACGTAACTGACTATACCGGAAATTTTTTTAAAAAAAGCGTATTTTTTCTGTCTTCGATTTCATTATTGACACTTGATTCATCATCTGACGTGCTATCGTCATGCTCATTACAACGAATTCGATTCATTGATTGCAAAGCTAAAACGAAAGACAAAGACGGTACCTACTGATTTATCTTATGTAGAAAAGAAGCACACATACTCTGTGAGTTTTCTTCCATTGCAATAATGTATTCGAAAAAATCAATTTTACCCGTATGTTTAAGATCAGCTTCCGCGTCATTCACCTATTCTATTATCGTTTATTACCTCTTTCCGTTAATTGCTCTCCCTTTCTAACTGAAACATCAACCATAGTTGGATAGACTCGTTTCGAAATGCATCTTTATCATATTCTGAATGTGGAAATAACGCATGATGTGCTATAAATAGAAATGACCTTCAGAGCACATATTGCAATAGAAATTAAATTGAGAGGATTGCATACCTTTTAAAAATTCTTTTTTTGTTATATAACCAGTTGGATGATTTAGACGAAATTCTTCATAATAATGTTCAATTTTATTCTTACAACATCGAGTTTTTAATTCCAGTTTCGTCAGCTGTTCATCACTCAATCTTTCAGGTATTGTTGTCACATGTTCATGTACATGTTCATGTTCATGTATGCCAATCAAGCTACCCATATGTGAAAATGTATTTGATGTGCTGATGTCAATAAACTCTCCAATTTCAGTTATACAAGCTACAGTACGAGTCATTGAGGTTGAAAAAATATGTGTAAGATAGGCGTTATGGTTGATTGATTTTACGTACAAATATTTTAATACCTGCTAAGGTGCAAGTTTTGAATGAATAAGAAAACGAAACAATCAAACAATGTAACTACGAAATCAATTTTCATCGTATTGACTCACATGCTGTCATGTTTTTCAAATAATTAAAAATTTATCCTTCTCAATATTAAAATTAATAAGTTCTATGTAACAGTCATCGTTGAAATAAGATAAAATGCTAAAAATAAAAAATATTTATTAAAACAAACGATAATTCATAATGCTCATTCCGCATTTGATGTCTGTTTCGACTCGTACAGGGCTGGGCAACTCCAACTCCGAAGTTGGGCGATTTTTAAGTGGAGTTGCAGTTGGAATTTTTGAGAACAGAGTTGTCTTTTATTCATTTTTATTCTCAACTCCGTATAATTGTTTTTGTTACGCTTTCTTTTCTTTAAAAAAGAGTAACGAATACATAGGAAAATAATCAGTATAATTCTTTTTTTGAGATGTGAATATACGACAAAATTTATATCACTCTCATGTGTCAGATGTCAGTGTGTGTCCGTTTCAATACACTTTGACCTCGTCATTTCATTCTTCTTGATATAATGTGACTTCTTTTCTTTCTAAAATTCTATTTTGCCTGTTCATTCTTTTGTACATTGACTGTACACTTCTTATTCAGTATAGATTTCATCATCTTTTTCGTAGGTATAAAGGCGAATAAAAAACAACCGGAGTTGAAACGATACAGCGACATTACCGTAGAACATGGGAATTTTTCCCCCAGCTATATTAAGGATTGAAAATTTTTCGTATGGTCTATGTCGACATCCGCACAGTGAGCAATTAGGCGGACATAAAACGAAAGTGTTATTTTTTAAAGTTTAAATATCGGAATAATTATTTCTGTCTTTGATCTTGTCCTAAAATATCATTTTCAGAAATTAAGTTGAACGTTAGAAAAACACATACTAAGAAATTTAGTCAAAAATCGCTATCCTCAGATACAGTTAATTTTTTGACCAACTTACTGGAATAGTTTAATTTGAAAAACTGCACCGAACCATATATAACATTGATTTTTCCAGAACACGTTTTTAAATTTTCTATGCTAAACATGTTTTGGAAATTCACCATTTCGCATTTTGTAAACGCTACAAACAGCTAAAGTTCAATCGACCTCACCCCTCTCCCAAATATTCCTCTATGTGTGCTCTACCATTGACCATAGCGCTCGTGAGTCTGCATTGTGCTGGAGGTTTTCCAAAAAACCATGGTCTTGGGAGTTCCAGGACTGGCACTCAGTGACTATTGGTAGCCTTGAAAACGGATGGACTATAGGCAATCGATCATGCTGATGCTCGTAGCAATATTTGGTTTTAGAAAAAGTTGTAAAAACCTACCGGAAAGCGAGTTTTACGAAAATTTGCGTTTTCAGATTGTTTTCACATTATATTAAAAATTTCACTAATGATCACTAAGAAATATCAGAACGAGTTCAGAACTTCAGAATGTAGAGTATTGAAGCTATGCTATATCCTATTTATAGGAGATCTCGAGATCTTGAACGAAATTTTACAAAACCCTAAGGTTTTCCAAAAGAATTTCTGGAAAACCTATTAACAAAAATATGCTTTTCTAAAAACAAATATTGCCACGATGCCATGGTCGATTACACATATTCCATCCGTCTTCAAGACCACTAATAGCTACCGGGTGCCAGTCCTGAGACTTGTAGCAAATCCGATACAACGCCCGAACCGCGGAAAATCAAGGTCTCACTTCACTCCCATTTTGAAGAGAACACCCTGGGCTATGGGCCCATGGAAAGAAAGCAATATAATCCTATTGGAAAACTTTTACAGACGGCATAGTTCTCAAAGACCTCTTAGTAACCATGTTTCAGAAAAGTCTTCTGAAAACAATTTTGACTATGGAAACATGCCTCCCAGTCTCCTCTTTCGAATGGCGAAAACGGGAGCTCGCTAGTTCTTTTCTATCAAAAGTTACTACTGAATTAATACCACATGTCCGCCTGCTTTGGCCAAAATTATACACTGTGCCGCTCATGCACTATGTGGACATAGATCATAGGTGATAAATTTTTCATAGTATACAATGGGTACAGATAACTAAACTACTTTTCGAACTAACTCTCGCACTGCTCTCATCTCCCACCACACACTCCCAGACATACTTTTTCGTAGTTGAAAATTTTATGCCTGACGCCTTTTAGTACCCTAAAATGTGTTTCTTAGCTTTTTAGAGAACTTCTTTAGATACTATCAGAAACCTTCAATAATCGCAAAAAAAGTGTGAATTTTAAGAGAAAGCTTGGGTTACCCAACTATGCGATTATAGACTTATAATGAAAAGTCTGTTTCTAACAGTGGATGAGAGGGGACTAAAATTAAAAGAAATAAAAATCGAAACTTGTAAATTTTGGAACTTTTTATTTTTTATCCTGTTCAAAGGATAGAAAATAATGAAGAGGATAGTAAGTAGGCTAATTTCCAGAAAAACGGGACAAGAAGAGTTTCTGGAATAAACCCTTTTTCTTATCGCAGCCTACATTAATTTGAAGTCAACTTCACCTCATAAAAGAAGACTACTTCAAATTTCCCACTCACGTCATCTATTTTAAATTACATTTTACTGATTGATAAAAACTGATTTAGTGGGATAAATGTTATACAAATTAATATTTTGTTGATTAATCTTTTATTTTAAGATTATCAACGCAAACGATCTGATACTGAATGCATTGCATCCGTCCAAAACAATAAAAGCTTACAGAATTAAATAGTTGACTTATATCTAAATATAGTGATACATCATACAGTTGCTTTATAACCGTCAGTTCTTATTCTTTCATTTACGCTGTGTATTTGTATATAATAAGAAACAAACGAATAGACCACAAAATTTCTCGTAAGGGTAATAAGTAATTGTCCACCATGCCGATAAAATAATTGACTCTTTGTTAAGAAGTCCTTGTTATTTTCGTTTCATCCTTCTTTTTACATCAAGTGCTTTGTCGTAAGTAAGTCATATATTTATAGTGACCTTTCTCTTCCTCTCTGTTCTATTGACGTCATTAGCCCGGCCAGTAGTAAATGACATATTCTTCCCTATTCTTCTTGTACGTCATGACCTAATGATGTCATGTTCTGATCAGTTCCTATCATAATCTTATTTTTGTGATCTTCATCATACACCCTCTGGGTATTGGTACTATTAACTAACTAACTAACTGACTAGTTCTTCGGATCTCATTAGGCCCTTTTCTGATCCTTTCTCGGATGTTTGATGCTATATATAGCTGTGTTTTTCGTGAATGTAGGACATAGTAATTTATTACTGAATAAAGTGAACAAGTTAGAGAATTAATAAAGATAGTTTTACTACGTAATATCTTTCCTGAAAAAAAAGGAACATGGTTTGGAGAACAGTTTAAAAAGTCTATCATATAAAGTATATTGTCTTTTTACTTTTATTTGTTTTTTCTACGAAGAAGATATAAAATGAGAGTGTTCACTACAGGAGTCAAGTTCAATTGTATATTCGCTCACACCCCAGAGCTATAACATTATGAATACGGTACTCGTTCAGCATCCGTACCTTTGAATTCCCAATTAAAGCTATTCTAAAATTATGACATGTACACATGTGAACATAAAAATCGCTTTTATCGAGTAAGGAGACCTGTCTGGTTAACATAGCTTTTTGGTTTTTCTCAGTATGAATAATATTATTCACTTGGTTTTTCTCTCCCAGGCTTTTTACCTTCTTTTTTTGTTACACTTCAGACGAATTATCTATGGCGTGTAAAATACCAATGGGTAGAAGTAAAGCTACTTAGACAGATGAAGGTGAAAGTAGATAAAGAAAAAAGGTAATAATAAAAAAAATAGTAAAGAAAATCTGTACAGTGAAAAACAGGAAACTGGGGGTTTTAGAAATTGTCGTCAGAGTTTTGTTTATTTCCGATTAGATTATCTTCTTTTTTTCTGCGCCATTTTCTGATGTATAGCTGATCAGACGGAGAGATTCTTTTTTTTCGGTTTTTCGTGCCGTGAAAATAGTACTAATAGACGAAGTCTAGCAAAATAACAAACGTCTGACTCCAATCCAAAATACTTACTTCAGTTGATTCTCTCAGTTTGGTCACCAGACGCTAAGCACTATCATAGATCATTTCCTACTGTTGTTTCAATTCTTTTGTTGCTGTTTGATCTAAAGCACATTTAGTTTGAGCATTAATTGGAATACTGTTAATTTTTCTACATTCTTTAGGATATTCCACTGATTCCTTTTTCAAAAGAAAAGTACGATACGCATCACGCCAGTAAGTAAAAGGTGCTGAAGAAATATGTGAAAAAGTTTGAAGACGTGTTTTAGACTACTGTAATAGAAAATGGCGGAGAAAAAAAGATAATCTAATCGGAAATAAACAAAACTCTGACGACAATTTCCAAAACCCCCAGTTTTCTGTTCTTCACTGTACAGATTTTCACGCCGGTTCACACGGGCGTTACGTAACTTTTCCTTCTAGTTACATCAAGTCAGTCAACGACTGGAGGAGCGTTGCACTTGACGCTACTGACAGCTGAACAAGGTCAACTTCTATCTAGTACATTATCTTCAACGGTTGATGTTACCACCATATCAGCAAGCACAGGCAGTTCACTATCTCCCACTAATTCTCTTGCAGCGTCACAAAATACTCTCTCAAACTATCCGAATGGCTCATATACAACAGACATATCCTCGTTCACGCCAGTCACCAACTCGAGCTACAAGTTTCTTCCACTAAATGAACAATTCTAAATGCAACTGGTGCTATCGATAGCTCTTCGCTGATTTTCGAAGCGAGACGTCAACAGTTTCTCTACTTTCGTATC